CAAATCTCTGGTTTTACACAAACTTCCTGCAGTTACTGAGTTCACTGTTTGGATTCATTGTTCAGTTTTAATTTAATGTCCATAAAATATGTCACTGAGTCAGTTTATTAAATGATAGAAAAGGAATTGAACCGATACTGTGTGTTTGTACTGTAATATCTATTCTGAACTTCTTAAATGTTGTCCCTGACAAATACCTCCCACATTATAATGAAAAACACCGAAACTAATCAAATCTAAACTGAAATGAACAAATTCACTCTGGAAATATAAAATTTAAAACAAAAAATAAATAAAAACTAATGAAAAATACAAAACTATAATAAATCTGATCTGAGCACAGTTCTTGCTTCTGTTTCTGTTACTGTTTTCTAAAGAGACATTTGGCTTTATTGTTCGCTGTGGATTCAGGCTCCTGTTTTCCTTCCAGCTTTGGCTTCATCAAACTCAACTTTATTTATAAAAGCACACATAGCAAACTAAAAAAAACACATAAAAACAGCTGAGTGCCCAAAAGAAAGCCTGAAAAAATATTAAATAACAGAAAATAACAGAATACAGTCATTTCTATCATTCAAATACAGTTTTTTTTAATCTTTTTAATGTTAATTAACTACAGTAATTATGTTTTCACTAATAAAAACTGTATTTTGACAGTTTATCAGTGTTTATACAGATAAAAAAACATTTATTCAATATTTTTGTTGTGAAAACAATATGTTAATAATCATTCTACAAGATATCTGTCAATTAACAAACAAATCCCTGTAAAATGACACAACAAATACTTTTTTACTGTTCATTGTCAAATGTATTAACAGTATTAAACTGAATTTAACAGTTTAATCCACTAAATAAACAGTTATAAATAAATGTAATAAAAAATCAAATAAATTATAGATTTGCATATGTATTTTAATCTTTTTATGTGAAAATAAGCAGTCATTTTATGATTATGACAGATTTTAACGTTATTTTACATCAGACATTTCACAGGTTATTTCTGTAATTTTATGTAACGTTATATTTTTTATGTATTTAAAAAGTACAGAAAAACACGTAAACTTACAGATTATTATTATTATGTTATAACATTACTTCAGAGTGAAAGATCTAATGAGTCACAGATCCGTTTGTGTATTCATATTATTTTTATTTGTATTTTCTAAATACAGTAAACTGTTTTTATTTTGAACAACGCGTTCAAACACTTAAACGCACCGTGTGGCGTCTGCGTTTTACCTGCAGACCGTGAAGGCAGCACGCAAACATCCTCTGATTGGTCCGTCAGTCGCTGTTTTCACCACGTGACAGCTGCGATGGCCGCCGTTAACGGGAGCGGAGACGGTACGTGGACGGTTTTAACGTGTGCGCGGGTTTAACGGCGCCGTGCTGCGGGTTGTTCACAGTTATATGAAACTCTGAGACTGTGAGACACAAAAGAACCGGGACAGAACCGGAAACTCGGTCTGTAACGAGGCTGAACAGCGAGCTATGCTAACGGTCACTGAACTGCTGCTCACATTAAAAAGAGTGAAATGAATTCAGTGTTTGGTTTTAAATGAAGCTGTAACGTTGTAACACGTTTAAGAATGAAAACCTCTCAGTAATAAACTTTATATTATTATGAGACAAGTTAAATCCAAATATTCTGGAAATAAACTATGAAGTCCTGGACAATAGTCCCTGAACAGGATCATTGTCCAGATGTAACAGATGTAACAGATAAAGTAACTCCCACTGTCTCCGCTCAGGTCAGGACAGTATCCTGGAGCCGCTGTGTTTCCCAGAGCAGCCAGCTGATGGCGCCGG